CGCTGTGGCTCAAGTGGTAGAGCACTAGCCTTGAGCTGAAGAGCCGAGGGACAGCGCCCAGGCCCAGAGTTCAGGCCCCACGACCAGACCCAAAAAAAAAAAAAAAAAGAAAAAGAAAAGAAGAAACAACAGAGCTCCTTAAAAAAAGAGAGAGATGAAGTCATTCAGTTAAATGGGGCTGGAGGCTGGGAAGAGGGAGCAAATGAAGAGACTGTAAGCAACGAAAAGTGGGTAGGCCAGATCTTGATCATGCAGTGTCCTGGGGACTTGCAAAGGAATCTGAACTTTGTCCTAAGCAAAGATTGGCAAATATGTGGCACTTAACACCACTGTCTGTCTACAACTTTGGCAGGCATAACAATTATACCACTGAGACGTGCTGAGCTCTTTTCATGTCTGTCTCCACAAAAATCTTCCCTAGGACCCTCTGTTCCCATTGGGAGACACTGTAGAATCTCAAACAGGAAAATGGCATCATCTAAACTTTCATTTTACAAAAGAACCCTGGGACTGGGAAGGTGACTCAGTGGTAGAGTGCTTGCCTTGCATGTATGAGACCCTGGGTTTGATTCCTCAGCACCACATAAGCAGAAAAAGCCAGAAGTGGTGCTCAAGTGGTAGAGCGCTCGCCTTGAGCTGAAGAGCTGAGGGACAGCACCCAGGCTCAGAGTTCAGGCCCCATGACTGACAAAAGAAAAAAAAAAGGGGGGGGGAAATCTGGCCAGACATCAGTGGCTCATGCCTGTCATCTTAGCTACTCAGGAGGCTGAGACCTGGGGATCTCAGTTCAAAGCCAGCCCGGGCAGGAAAGTCCCTGAGACTCCAATAAACCACCAGAAAACCAAAAGTGGCACTGTGGCTCAAGTGGTAGAGAGCTCGCCTTGAGCTGAAGAGCACAGGACAGCGCCCAGGCCCAGAGTTCAAGCCCTATAACCGACAAAAAGAAGAAGAAGAAGAAGAGGAGGAGGAGGAGGATGAAGAAGAAGAGGAGGAGGAAGTAGTAGTAGTAGTCTGGTGGCTGTGGGCAGACGAGAAGATCAGATACACACAGCAGACACCATGTGGAAAATGAACTATACAACTTGTGGGTGGGGAAGGGAAAGAACAACTGAGAGAGACCGAGGGAAAGGGTGACATCATCCAAAAAGAAATCTACTCATTACCTGATTTATGTAACTGTAATCCCTCATCATCTTTATAGTAACCATTAAAAATAATTTTAAAAGATCAGATAGAAGCAGCTGTTTAGGGCAGAAGGTAATAAGAATTTCAACTATAATGGTGGTAATGAGAAGAAAGAAAAGAACGGTAGAATTTAAGAAGGTAAACTAGTAAGACTTCAATAGCAAATTGGAGACCCCACAAGGAGAACTCTGCTCACTTCCCAGCAGCCAGGCACCTGTCACCTAGGGAGGGCTCTAGACGGAAAGAGACAATGGCTAAGTGGCTTATCTATTTTCTCCAGGCGTCTTCAAGATAACATCCTATTTTCAGACGGTAATGTCCTTATTACACAGATAAGGAATCGAAAGTTTAAAGAGGTAAGTGACCTTCCCTGATTATACCTAACTAAAGTGTCTTAGAATTTAATCCTGACTTTGAACTCTAACTCTTCAGTCCAAGTTCTCTCTCTCTCTCTCTCTTTCTCTTATTCCGTCATGGGGCCTGAACTCTGGGCCTGGGCGCTGTCCTTCAGCTCTTCAGCTCAAGGCTAGTGCTCTTCCACTTGAGCCACAGTGCCACTTCCAGCTTTTTTTGCTTCTGTGGTGCTGAGGAATCGAACCTAGAACCTCATGCATGCAAGGCAAGCGCTCTACCACTGAGCCACCTTCCCAGCCCTCCAAGTTCTTTCTTATCTGTGGCCCAGGTTTCTTCCAGTTTGAACAGAGGGGCTGGGAATGACAGTAGAGGGAGGTCAAAGACCCAGTTTTGGCTGTTCTCACTACATTCAGATAGTGGGGCACTGGTGGCGTATGCCTGCAATCCTAGCTACTCAGGAGGCCGAGATCTGGGCAGGAAAGCCCCAAAGACTCTGATTTCCAATTCACTACCAAGAAAGAATGTCAGAAGTAGAGCTGTGGCTCAGAGTGGTAGGGCACTAGCCTTGAGCACAAAAAGCTCAGGGATAGTACCTAGGTCCTGAGTTCAAGTCCAGGCCCAGCATAATAAACAAACAAAATAGAAAAAAGAAGAAAAGAAACAACCAATTTCTCCTGGATTAGGTCTCTAACGTCATCAGAACTACAGAAACTTTTTTGGGGGGAGGTGGGTCAGTCATGAGGCTTGAACTCAGGATCTGAGCACTGAAACTGAGCCTCTTTGTGCTCAAGGCTAGTGTTCTGCCACTTGAGCCACAAGTGCCACTTCTGTTTTTTGAGTGATTAACGGGAAATAAGAGTTTCATGGGGACTTTTTTCCCTGGGCTGGCTTCAAACCACAATCCTTAGATCTCAGCCTCCTGGGTAACTAGGATCACAAGTGTGAGCCACCGGTGCCCAGCTAGAGAGATGTCTTCATCTCACAGAACACAAAGCTGCTTGCTACAATCCAATGCCATGTCACTGGGAATGTTCACTGTGCCCAAAGAAAGACACGCCTGTCATCCTAGTACTCAGGAGGCTGAGATCTGAGGATCATGGTTCAAAGCCAGCATGGGCAGGAAAGTCTGTGAGACTCATCTCTAATGAACCACCAGAAAACCAGAAGTGGTGCTGTGGCTCAAGTGGTAGAGTGCTCCCCTTGAACTGAAGAGCTAAGGAACAGTGCTCAGGCCCAGAGTTCAAGCCCAGAGTTCAAGCCCGATGACAGACAAAAACTACTAACCCACCTAGCTAGGCACTGGTGGCTCATGCCTGTAATCCTAGCTACTTAGGAGGCTGAGATTTGAGGAACCAGTTCAAAGCCAGCCCAGGTAAGGAAAGTCTGTGAGACTCTGCAGTGAACCACCAGAAAACTGGAAGGATAGTGCCCAGGCCCAGAGTTCAAGCCCCATGACCAATGAGAAAGAAAGAAAGAAAGAAAGAAAGAAAGAAGGGTGGGAGGGAGAAAGGGAGGGAGGGAGGGAGGGAGGGAGGGAGGAAGGAAGGGAAGGAAGGAAGAAAGGAAGGAAGGAGACAGAAAGAAAGAAAGAAAAAAAGAAAGTTAAGAAAGAATTAACCCACCTAGGTGGTAGCAGATACAGGCTGCACAGATAAACTTCTCACTAGACAAGGAAATCAAATCCCCTCATCTCTACATAGCACCCAACTACATTCCTACTATTAGAACCTTAAAGAATAGTGGCCTTTGTATAGTAAGACACACGAACAATAAATAGCCAGTAATAACTGTTCGCAAAGAACTAGGCCCTCATACCCAGTCCTCACTACAACTTACAAAAAAAGGTACACTAAACCCTTTTATAGATGGGGGAAGAAAAAAAAAAAAAAGCTCAGCGCCTACCCAGAGACAAAATCTGAGCAAAATGGACCGGATGTGGTAATGAAGTTTATAATCCCAGCACTCTGGAGGCAGAGGAAGACCAAGAGTTCAAGGCTGGCCTAGACTATATAGTGCAAAACTTCTTCCAAAAGAGAGAGAGAAAGAGAAAGAAAAAGAGGAAGGAAGGAAGGAAGGAAGGAAGGAAGGAAGGAAAACAGAAAAGGTGAAAGGCAAAAGTAGATTAAGCGCAAAGACCACGCTCTTTCCACTGCACAAGGCAACTCTGCTATGAGAGAGGCTTCACTGTGACAGTTCCACATGTGTCTCAAACTCACAGATTTTTTCTAACCCCACTATGTCTTTCAAAGATTTTTTTTTTGTTTTTTTATTTTAGCCAGTCATGGGTCTTGAACTCAGTGCCTGGGCACCGTCCCTGAGCTTTTTTTGCTCAAGGCTAGCACTCTACCACTTGAGCCACAGCACCACTTTGGGATTTTTCAGTTTCTGTGATAATGAGGGATCAGACCCAGGGCTTCATGCATGCTAGGCAAGCACTCTACCACTAAGCTACATTCCCAGCCCTTTCCAGATTTTTTTGAAGCTGACCCATTTGACTAAGAAGCAGTCAAAAGCCGGGTGCTGGTGGCTCATGCCTATAATCCTAGCTACTCAGGAGGCTGATATCTGAGGATTGTGGTTTGAAGCTAGATCAGTCTGGAAGTCTGTTGTGAGACTTTTTTTTTTTTTTTTTT